CGGGCAGGGGAGCGAGCCGCAGGACCGCAGCTCCGCCAGGGCTGGAACGGCGGGTTCGGGGGAGACGCACGGAAGGAAAGACGCCGGGGGTGGGGACGAGGCAGGGCAACCTGCGGGCCGGCGCCGACACCTCCCCGTCCGCCGCAAAAGGCTGCACGCCACCTCGGGGTCTCCGGAAGCCCGCGCGGCCACCTGGGGAGCCCCGGCCTGACCCCGTCCTCGGCCACGGCCCCTTACTACCGCTGACCACCCAGCGGGCCGCGGCAGGTGATGCGGCGACTGGGCAGCCGAGCCGCGCAGGTTGGTTACCTGCCTCAGGCGACCGCGCCTCCGAGCCGCCCACTCCCTCCCAGGGGCGCCAGGAGCCGGGACCCGAGGAGTAGGAAGGGCGTGCGAGGCAGCACGACAGAGGGGCGGACAGGAAGCGGGAGAAGCGTCCGGCTCTCCGGAGGGGCTGGCAACAGGGAGGCGAGGACGCTGGCGACGCGACAGCAGGCGGCGGGGCGGTCGGGACGCTACCGTACCTTCCTCGCTCCGGGCCAAGGGTCCGACGAGAGCTAGCAGACCGCCTCACATCCGGGTATCGGGAGACACTCAGCTGCTTCTGCCGCCACCACCGCCTCTCCCGCGGCGCAGCAACGCCAAACTTCCGGCGACGACGGCTACGCCTCGCCCGTCAGATGGGAGTTACCTGGGACCGTCTTGGGCGCGCTTGCGCAACGCTCCTTTTCTGCCTGAACCGGCTCAGCTGACGTGCCCAGAAGATGAAGATGGCCGCCACGCTCGTTGCGTGTCACGCAGTTTTTCACCCCGGCCCGGACTGCTGGGCGTCGGGGAAAGACGAGCCAGCGTCGGACCGCAGCGCAGGCGCGGTGGGAGGCCTCGCGTGCGCGCACCGCGGGTGGGCGCCTCTCCGGCTAGCGGCAGACTCTTCCCTTTACCCGCTCGTCTCTTGGAGTAAAGCCACGTACGCCCCCAGCGGTGGTGGTTTGTCTTGAAAATCCGTCGCCACCGGTTCTTCTGTTGGTTGCAGGTACTGCTCTCTGCGACTTTCAGTTCAGATACCTCTAATCCTCGACAGGGGCCAATGTAAAGAAAAGGGTGGACGATTGACCCTTCTCTCTCCTTCCCGGCACTGCACTCCAGCGCCTCCCCAAAATGCAGGGCTTCAGCGTCTCCTTGCACACTTTCCTCCCTGGGCATCAGAGCACGAGAGTCGACAAGAAATTGTAGAAAGTTCCACCACGTTTAGTCATGGCGGGTGTTCAAAGCTTTGACTCTTAGAGACCTCCAATGATAGAATCCAGGGTTCTCGCACTAGGATTCTTGGTTCTACCCTGCTTTTGAACACGCCCTCTGTGCTACTCTTTCCTTATTTGCAGAACTGTGAGGATGGGCAAATGGGTGCTATTGCCCTTGAGAATCTGAAGAGAGGTTCTCCACTTCCGGCCCTCCTTTTTTGAAGCCAAGTCCAGCCAAAATGTGCTCTAAGTTTGTGAAGCCTGATGTTTTTATGAGAATACATCTTCCACAAAACTTTATTGAGCTGCCTGTCAGTTTAGTTTGGGGAAGTTCTGTGGTTTAAAAACCAAAATGAGAAGTATTGGTGGGTGAAGCCATTGGTCACATCACCATACCTTGTGTTATGGCAAAAACCTGTCTTCCCCCCCGCCCATCCCCAGTGCCTGATACTTTCATTTGTCCCTTGTTCAACACAAGTTTAAACAAGTCCAGTTATATGGGGATTTTTTTTTTTCCCAGTAGTAAGTACTAGAGTACTAAACAATCATCATCAACTGGTTGGTTGAATCGGAGGATGTGGAACTGGGGATATGGAGGGGCGACTGTAAGTTATGCATGGATTTTCCACTGAGCAGAGTCTCTGTGCCCCTAACGCCAGAGTTGTTCAGGGGTCAGCAATATACTTTAATGGCATATACCAAACGGCTTAAATTGGGGAAAAACTCAGGAGTAGACTGCCAACGTGATTAAAGCTGGTTATCTACTGTTGATAGAATATCTGACCTATATTTGCCTTCACCTTCAGATTGTCAGACAATTGGTGGGATTTCTCTTTGTGTGTAAACCACTTTATCTGTAGTAACTCAAATTCTGGCATACACACATACACAAACCATATTTACAAGTTTCCATTTCCAAAAAATGGGCCTCTGCTTTTTTTTTAAAAGATGTTGGGGTAGGAGTTAATTAATTAATTAATTTTTGCTGTGTTGTGTCTTCGTTTCTGTGCAAGAGCTTTCTCTAGTTGTGGCAAGTGGGGGCCACTCTTCATCGCGGCGCGCGGGCCTCTATCACGGCCTCTCTTTTTGCGGAGCACAGGCCCCAGACGCGCAGGCTCAGTAGTTGTGGCTCACGGGCCCAGTTGCTCCGCGGCATGTGGGATCCTCCCAGACCAGGGCTCGAACCCGTGTCCCCTGCATTAGCAGGCAGATTCTCAACCACTGCGCCACCAGGGAAGCCCTTTTTTTTTTTTTTTAATATTTATTTATTTGGCTGCGTCTGGTCTTAGTTACAGCATGCGGGATCTTTTAGCTGCTGCATGCGAGATCTAGTTCCCTGACCAGGGATGGTACCTGGGCCCCCTGCATTGGGAGCATGGAGTCTTAACCACTGGACCACCAGGGAAGTCCCAGGGCCTCTCTGCTCCTGAGTAATCTATTCCACTATACTTGTATTGGCCACAATCAGGAGCGTTGGAATCTTTACAAATGTCACACCATATGAAATCATATGTATTTATTTTTGATACATAAGGAATTCATATTTGATGTATAATTCCTGTCTGCAATTTGTTCTAGGTTTTCTTTTCTAAAACTAAATACAATCAGGTGTTTAAGCATGCTGTGAAAATATAAAATAGTTTGCTTTTACAATACTGTATTATACACTTCAGAGTTGGGTCATTTGATTTGTTGTTTACTAAAAAATAATCATGATCCAGTGAATAAATTATCTTGCTTGACTGAGCTTTCAAAGATCATATAAGCTGACAGCGAATTTATCCTAGTAAAAATAGAGGCTTCCATTCCCGAGAGCTCTTGAGAAAGTCCCCGGGGGGGAGAGCTGTGATTGGTTAATCTTTTGCCATGTGCACATGCTAAAAACAAATGCTGTGGCCTAAATGATGCATCTTGGTGCTGAACATTATGGTTCTGTAAATTTGTGAAGTTCTTTTTCAGAACCCTACACAAGAAACATAAGCCCCTACTTGTAAATTCTTTTGCCAAACTTAAAATTGTGAATGTAATCTGGATTTGTTTAAAATGTTTGCTTTCCTTGCTCACTCCAAATTGCAGAACGTACTTTTTTGCGCATGCTTATCATTAACACATCTACTTCTAAAAACTACTGATGGAATGGTTGTATTGCCCCACATGTTGCATTCTCATTTCCTTGTTCCTTTTCTTTCTTATGACCAATCTAAATGCCTGTAATATATAAAACCTCAGCTAACTCCAAGAAGACGGAGTAGTCTCACTTTCAGACTGACCCTCCTGCTAGCAGCAAATAATGGCTTTTCTGTTGTTGCTCCATTCTTGATGACATTATTTCAGGACTCTTGACAGTTTTATACTATGAGAGAATAAAAATCCTAAAAAATTTTCAAGCTAGAAAATAAAAACAAAGAAAAATTATAGCAATTTGGTCCACATTGGATCACCAGGAGATTATTAGGAACTGTTCGGAAGACAGGGGGATAGATGTTGAGAAGGCAGCACACATATGTCCATTACAGTCTTGCTACTCAAATTGAGATCCATGGAATAGGAGCATCTTCATCAACTGAAAGCTTGTTAGAAGTGCAGAATTTCAGACCCCATACCAATGGAATCAGAATTTTCATTCTAATATTTCCTCCAGTTGAGTCCTATGCACATTAATGTTTGATGAGAATTGCCTCACAACATTCAAGAATTCTAATGACCAGGGATGAAGTCCAAGCTGGAGATACAAATTAAAGCCGTAGTTTTGGAGATCACCTAGGCTAAAGGAGAAAGTATCCATTAGAGAAGCATAACATGATCTCTGGATCTCTGGGCACTGTGGGGAACCCTTCTGAGGTTTGTGACCAGAATTTAAAGTGAAAATAATCAGTTAAATTGTGTGATTTTTCTGGACTTCTCTGGAGGCGCAGTGGTTAAGAATCCGCCTGCCAATGCAGGGGACACGGGTTCGAGCCCTGGTCTGGGAAGGTCCCACATGCTGCGGAGCAACTAAGCCTGTGTGCCACAACTACTGAAGCCCGCGCACCTAGAGCCCGTGCTCCACAACAAGAGAAGCCACCGCAATGAGAAGCCCGCGCACCACAACGAAGAGTAGCCCCCGCTCGCCACAACTAGAGAAAGCCCGCGCGCAGCAGCAGAGACCCAACGAAGCCAAAAATAAATAAAATTAAAATTTTAAAAAGTTGACATAGGGCTTCCCTGGTGGCGCAGTGGTTGAGAGTCCGCCTGCCGATGCAGGGCACACGGGTTCGTGCCCCGGTCCAGGAAGATCCCACATGCCGCGGAGCGGCTGCGCCCGTGAGCTATGGCCGCTGAGCCTGCGCGTCCGGAGCCTGTTGCCCCGCAACGGGAGAGGCCACAACAGTGAAAGGAGGAAGGCCCGAAAACCCAAAAAAAAAAAAAAAAAAATTGACGTAAAAAAAAATTGTGTGATTTTTTTCAGGCACGTTAAGTAATGTTGAGGTTCCTGGTGTTGGAGCAGAGTTAGCATAATCCTCTGGACTTCTCCCAGAACTTCCTTTCATTGAGTAAATTTCGTGCTGCTGAATACACGGAGCCCTGCCATGCCCGTTAATGGGATTTAATCTCCTCAAATTTCCCTCTTACCGGAAGTTTCCTCCTAAAGCAAACCCCCTCAGCAGTTGCAAGGCACACCTCCAGCCGCCAGGGGCCGCAGTGGCGCTTCTCACGGCCGGAAGGGAGAGCTCAAGGGTGGTCTCGGCGTTTCCGCCGTGCGTCCGCACCGGTACGCGCGCTCTTTACGTCGGAACCCTGGGATTAAGTGTTTCCGGCCATTCATATTCGTAGCCGGTCGGCGCTCAGTTGTTGGGTTTTGTTCGCTATCCGACCGAAACGGTGACGGCGCCGCTAGGATGAAGCTCGTGAGGTGAGGAAGTGACCAGGCGGGGTGAGGGACTGTGAGGGGACAGTCTGAACGGTGTGGGCCGGGAGCGGGAGGCTGGGCTGCCCCAGAGGCTGGAGGCGCGAAAGCCGCGTGTGCGCGCGGCCTGCTAACGGCCTCCGGCGCCCGCCGCTCCCGTCCCATCTTGGCCGCGCCGCCGCGGCCGCTCGGACCTGGGCTTCAGACTGGGTCGCGCGGGGATCCCCCGTATTTTCCAAGAAGTGGAGGTAAAGGCCGGGCCAGGTTTTCCCACCCAGAGTCTTCGAGGCCGTAGAGGTGCAGCGCCAGGCTTACAAGCTACTCCCGGTGACTTACCGACTTTCATTTTGAGTAGAACTTGTGCTCTAGTCTGGGTTGCGTTTCTGGCTCGTCTCAGCCTCAGGAGCCGGCAAATATAACTAGGTCCACGCTCCCTGAGAATGTGGGAGACATAAAAATACTACTGCGTAAGTAGTTTAAGTTAAATGCGTTTTTCGCGATGAAACTACCATCACACTTAAAAGAGTACTTAGAAGCTGTAGGAGTTTATCTGGAAATAATGAAACCTAATTCCGAAATGTTTCAAATCAGGGATGGACTTTCGATTCCGTAAGTTTATCCTATCACTTCTTTCCCCCCCCTTGTTGTTACTTACTAGACTTAACGTTATTCAACCGACATTTCCCCTTAAAATAGGACTTTGCTTTAGGAAAAAAAAGTCTCCCAACGTGGGACAGAATCTATTTTCTGTATATTTTGACTGATTACACAGATAATCGAGATTTCTTCTGGTTCATTTCTGTGTTTAAATTTGGCCGGTTAGCTGAGCCTACTGAAAACTTGTTTACTGATTGGAGTAATTCATTCTAAACTACTTGCAAATAGATTGGGGTTTGGTGTTTTTCCTTGAGGCTGAGAGCTTGCAGCATAGAAGCAGAGGTTTCTAATAACCCAGCCGGCAGTCACAAACTAGGATTGTCAGTGTTATTGGGCACCTGTTACACTGTGCTCTCATAATGTATGCTTTTTTTTTCCGACACAGAGTCCCTGCCTTGTTGGAGCTTTATGTTTTGTGGTGAAGGTAGACAAGTAGGTAGTTTCTAGTATGTTTGAAATATCATATAAAATCCTTATTGTTATATTCAGGGTGGAGTTTGTAGAGAGGGCATTTAAGGTTAACTTTTTGTCCATTTTTTTCTTACAGTTTTATTGAGATGTAATTGGCGTACGACACTGTATAACTTTAAGGTATACAGCATAATTATTTGATTTACATCCATCACGAAGTGATTAACACAATAAGTTTAGTGAGCATCCATCGTCTTATATAGGTACAAAATAAAAGAAATAGACAAAAAATTTTTTCTTGTGATGCGGACTCAAGATTTACTCTCTTAACTTTCATATATAACATACAGCAGTGTTAATTATATTTATCATGTTGTACATTACATCCCTAATACTTATTTATCTTATAACTGGAAGACTTTGTCCATTTTTATTTGAAGTATAACTTTGGGGGGAAACATCTCAGAATTTAAAGTTTATTTTTTCAATTTCTCAATACCTGCCAGTCTGAATCTGTAGTTAAGTTTTATGTCATACTCTTTGGAATCAGTTTGTCTCATTTAAAGATAGTCTGTGTTGTGACGGAATTTTCCTATAAATTTTAATGGCTGTACTGAATCCTATTCTGTGTCTTACACTATAGAAATAAAATTTCTAATAACTGGAGAATGTGTTTTACGCCAGGAAAAATGGGTGTTTGTCTAACTGGTTTGCGGTTTTGGTTGACTTTGTTATTTCTTTATCTCAGTTGGTGACACTGTTATACTGTCTCCCTAACCAAAAACCTGGGAGTCGTCTTTGACTTCTTCCTCTTGATAATCCTGATAATCTGATAAATTGCTAGGTTTTGGCAAATTTACCTACCTAATATAAGTATCTTTCACTATCCCATTCTCTTTGATTTTTGAATTTAATAGTGTGAGTTTGGATAGCATTTCAGTGCTATACTGAAGGAGATACCATTTTATCTGAATATCTGAGTATTATCTGAATATTTTAAGTTACAGTATTATCTGAATATCTTAAGTTACTGTAATGGACATATGTGTGCTTATCTGAATATCTCTAAGTATCTTTCACTATCCCTTCTCTTTGATTTTTGAAGTTAATAGTGTGAGTTCGGATACCATTTCAGTGCTATACTGAATGATACCATTTTATCTGAATATTTGAGTATTATCTAAATATCTTAAGTTACAGTAAGCAGAAAGAATTCAGGTAGTGAAGGATTCATCAGAAAATAATTTGAATTTGCTTGGTTCCTTGGCTCGGATAACTGTGTTTATTTCTCCTACCCTCAGTACACCTTCCTTGCCACTCCAGTCGACACCACTAAGCTGTTCAGCCTCCCTTTTCTTCCCACCCGTGTTCTTTAATCTCACTTCTTAAAGTAAATATCTCATAACAGTGAAATTCAGTGTGCATTTCCCAATTTTGAAAAATGTATACACCTGTGAAACCCAAACTGCTGCCTGGATAGTGAACTTCTGGACTCTGTTCTGTTTCATTGACCTATTTGTAGTTCCTGTGTCTTGATTACTTTAATCTATCTATTGCTCTAGCCACCTAATTTGTCTTCCGATGTGGCACTCCACTCCATTGATGAAAAGCCTTCAGTAGTTCTCCTAGGGGAATTCTTTTTTTTTTTTTTTTTTTTTTTTTTTTTGCGGTATGCGGGCCTCTCACCGTTGTGGCCTCTCCCGCTGCGGAGCACAGGCTCCAGACGCGCAGGCGGAGCGGCATATGGGATCTTCCCAAACCGGGGCACGAACCCGCGACCTCTGCATCGGCAGGCGGACTCCCAACCACTGCGCCACCAGGGAAGCCCTAGGGGAATTCTTTAACAGAGCTTGGGCATTCCATGAAAGGAACCTCTTCCCTACTCATTTTCTTGGACTTAGTATTCTATCAGTAATACCTATAATTTCTGTGTACCTTGTGCTGTTTCTTACTATATCTTTGCTCTAGTCTCTCTTTGCTGCATATTTCCAACTTTTCAGACTTACTAGAAGTCCACTAAGATCTGACTCCTTCCTACCCATGCTACATTATATTCATGGTAAGAACCTGTGCATATCTCCGTTGTGATTTAAATTTACGTAATTACTTAAAAAAAAAATCTTTCATGTGTCTGTTCTTCCTTACAGAGTTTGAGCTCCTTGGGGGCCTAGTCTTACTCATTTTTAATCATTACCAAGCACAGTGACTACCATATAATATATAATGATAAATACTATTTATCAAAGAAATATCCTTGGACTTGATAAAATGTATTTTGATTGTTTCAGAGGTTTTCTTTCTGGTTTTCCTTTTATTTCCATATGGTAGACTGCTTGATTAATAAAGTATTTTATTTTTACTTGAATCCTGCCTGTTTCTAAAAATGATTTGAAAGAAGTTTTATAAAACTAGTAGTTATTACTGGATGGGACAATTAAAGTAAAAACAAATTTTAAATTGATAATGGGAAGAAACCATTCGGTGAAAATTCTAGGCTAATATAGTTATATTAAATTTGAGCTAAGTTAAAGAATTCTTATCTGGTGAAATAAAGGATTACCAATTCATTAAGAGAGACTTTTTTTCTTGACAGCAAATATGGAAAGGGAAGGGATTCAACACACAGTTTTTTCTTTGTATGAGAACAAGTTTGGGACTTGTCTTATGCAAGACCAAGTAATTTCCCCTTTTTTGATGGCTGTCTATACCACTTCAAAAGTTGTATTTTAAGCCTGATTTCCCTTTAATCATTGAAACATTTTAGCCAACTTATTCAGTGCCTGTTACAATCCAGGATTAGATACAAAGTTCATGATTCTTAACCTCAAGGATAGACTAGTTGGGGAGAAAGTAGGTAATCTTAACATTTAGTGTGATCGGGTATACAAAGTACATACTATAGACCAGAAATTTTGAATATGAGTTGTATATTAGATCATACTGTAGGATTATTGTTCATTTTTCTAGATGTGATTGTGGTGTTATGGTTATGTGGTAGAATGTCCTCATGAGAAAATGCATGCTGAAGTGACTGCAGTTTACTTTCAGATAATGTGGTGACAGTGTAAGTGGGCGGGGAGGGGCACACACAAATGGTAACATTTTCATAGTGTGTGAACCCTTCAGCTTCCTCTGCAATATTTCATAATAAAAAGTTGGAGAACAGAAGAATAGATGAAGTGGGGAATGGATGACTATTCAGTAAATGTTATTGAAGCACCTGGCTATCCAACTTGGGAAAATCATAAAGGCCGCTTCCTACCTCACATTGCACAGAAAAGAGATGAATTCTAGGTGGATTAAAACTCTAAATGTAACAGTAGAAGAAAATAAGAGACTTTTTATAATCTTGGGATGGGAATCATCTTTCTAAACAAATTACATACCCAAGAAGGATTCATAAATTTAACAACATAAAAATGAAAAAAAATTGTATGGCTAAAGAAAACCATGAACTTGAATTGCTGTGGCAAACTGATAGAAAATAAAAGAAGAATTCGACCTAATTGGAGTTGTGAATAATGTGAATAGGAAAATAACAGAAGAAATACAGATTTCCTGTATTCATGAAGAATTATTCAACAAGTGATAGGGAAAAGCAAATTGCCTTTTTTCCCCTATCAAATTGACCAAAACAAGATTGGTGACAGTTAGTGTTGGTGAGGATTTGCATAAATGAATTTGGTGGGGGTTTGCATAAATGTCTCTAAATGCTAAATGAGAACTAAAAGTTACAGAAGCCATTATAGTATGGCCCAGTTTCTGTAAAAGTAAATTTTATGTAAATGCTTATGTTTGCATATAAAATGGTCTAGAATATCCCCACATGCCTGGAGGAGGGTTAGAAAAGGAGACTTTTTACCTTATTTATACACATACAATAAGAGTATAATCTTTTAATACCAATTATAATGTATCATTTTTTTCAGTTTCATTGAGATATAATTGACATACAACACTGTAAGTTTAAGGTGTACAGGATAATGACTTACATAAGCTGTGAAATGATTACCACAGTAAGTTTGTTAACATCCATCATCTCATATGTATACAAAAGAAAAGAAAAAAATGGCTTTTTTCTCATGAGAACTTTAAGGATCTAGTCTCTTAGCAGTTTTCAAATATACCATACAGCAGTATTAACTATAGCCATCATGTTGTACATTACATCTCCAATACTTACTGTCTTATAATTGGAAGCTTGTGTTTTTTGAGCACTTTTATCCATGTAATTTCTTGATTTCAGTTTTGTGGCTTACAGTGACTTCAGGATCTATATGCATGGATCAGAGGTTAAGCTGTATAATGGCTTAGAGAATCAGAAATGTCCAAGTGACAATTTCTGTTACTGTGCTCTTTCATAAATGTTAAGGGTATCATTCAGGGAAAGCTGAAATTGTTATGCAAGGTATTAACAGGAATTGGTGCAGATAGCATCCATAGTAGGTTTTCAGCATCTAGAAATTTCACCCTTTGGCTTAATAATAATAATAAACATGTTTTTGAAGTGTTAAAAGTGAAAATTTATCATTTTATTCCTATTGTCTTTATAGATTTTTGATGAAATTGAGTCACGAAACTGTAACCATTGAATTAAAGAATGGAACACAGGTCCATGGAACAATCACAGGTATGGAGGTTGGACTGCGTTTATAACACTTTTTATTTCCTATCTCTTTCACCTACAGGCCAGAATTCTTTGGTTAATGAATGTTTTATATAGTACAAATCTCATTCCTTTTGTCCTATTTCACTGACCTTCTTATTTAAGCCTCACCTTAAGTTCTTATGCTAAGACCAGACTGGATTCCCCAGGTTATCCTATGTGTGACCACTGTTTTCCTGCTTTATGCCTTTTCTACTTTTGCCTGTACGTGTCCCCTGGAATGTTGCATCTTACAAAACACATATTACTTGTATCAGAATTTTGTGTCCCCTGTTAGATTGTAAAGTCCTTGAAGATAGAGGATGGAGTTTCCATGTCTGATTATCCTGGGTAAAAAATATGTGGGAAATGGGAAGGGGGTGTTGAGGAACCATAATTTTATCTAAGCATAACATATTAGAGTATTATATTTGTCTTTTTTCTTAGGTGTCTAACTCTTTAATGATATTGTATGTATGATATGTAGTTTTATATTTAAAGCCACTGTGATTCTTCACTAATAGTAGCTGCTGCCCCCAAAAAGGGCAAATTTTTAAAAGAATTGATGAAAGAAAATGCTATCTTAGCATATGGTACCATTCTACTCTCTGAAATATTTAAATTGTAAATTTATAAATAATTTTTTAACATGTAGATCCAGCATCTGAGTAAACAAGAGAAATATATAGTATTAAACTGATAATATTTGTGAGTCCACCAAAACTTTGCAACACCAATTGCTATGAAAGGAAATCTGTATAGTTTAAGGTTTTGATACAGTCTGATCATATCTGAGGAAATGTAATTTCTGTCCTGTTAAAATTCCGTGATTTTAAACAGTGATTTAGTCTGCTCTTTTCTGAGCTCTGTGTTGCATGTTGTAGAGGAAGCAGAGTGTTCTTTTTTTTTTTTTGCCGTACGCGGGCCTCTCACTGTTGTGGCCTCTCCTGTTGCGGAGCACGGGCTCCGGACACACAGGCTTAGCGGCCATGGCTCACGGGCCTAGCTGCTCCACGGCATGTGGGATCTTCCCGGACCGGGGCACGAACCTGTGTCCCCTGCATTGGCAGGCAGACTCTGAACCACTGCGCCACCAGGGAAGCCCTCTTCCTGCTTTTTAGGAATTCAAAATCTAGTGATGGAAGACACTCACAAAAGTAATATAATGTAAGGTTTGCCTCACATACAGTAGGCACTTAATAAATGATGTCCCAGGAGGAAAATTTAGTAAATTGGGGGAGCAAAATCGAGTAAAAATCCAATTCCCTCCCCCAGTGACAACCACTGTTTCAAGTTTCTTATATCCTGAATATATATTTTAGTCCTCGCAATAGGGATAATCATACTATCTACCATAAGGACATTGAGGATTAAACTGAAATGCCTTAGCATGCAGTTCCTGGAACATAGAAAGAGATCATAAATCTTTTGGTTTTTTTCCCCCTCTCCCTCGTTGTATCAAGTTCCCCAACAAGATGGAATGTATCAAAAGTCTATTAATTTTGGGAAAGAAGAGTACAGAAGATTAGTAAACAACAAGCTAAGGAAAAATCTAGTGAAGGAAAGATTTCTGATTTATACAGACATAATTACCAGTTGTAGAACAGATAATACTCTTCTATAACATCGTACTAACAGTGGCTTGATAGATTAATTGGTTGCCTTCCTTATTATGCTAATAACTGTCCTCTTTTTTCCCTCCAGGTGTAGATGTCAGCATGAATACACATCTTAAAGCTGTGAAAATGACCCTGAAGAACAGAGAACCTGTACAGCTGGAAACACTGAGTATTCGAGGAAATAACATTCGATATTTTATTCTGCCAGACAGCTTACCTCTGGATACACTTCTCGTGGATGTTGAACCAAAGGTGAAGTCTAAGAAAAGGGAAGCTGGTAAGTTTGAAGGATTATAAACATTTTTGTGTCTGGCGTATTTATGCCCTAATCTGCTATTCAAAATATGTTTATATTTGCAAACAACACGGGTTGGTTGGTTTGTTTTAATTGCCTCTACTTGCCATGAGTACATATAGTGTTTCTTACAGTTCCTGGTATTGCTATTCAAAAGACTGATGTTCTTACTTCCTGTCCCTTTGTGCATGGCCTGGTCCCCTAATCCCTGCACACTTTGGAAAATTCGGAGATTGAGTCTTATTTTTTTAAATAAATTTATTTATTTATATTTATTTATTTATTTTTGGCTGCACTGGGTATTTGTTGCTGCGTGCGGGCTTTCTCTAGTTGCTGTGAGCGGGAGCTACTCTTCATTGTGGTGTGCGGGCTTCTCATTGCAGTGTTTTCTCTTGTTGTGGAGCACGGCCTCTAGGCGTGCAGGCTTCAGTAGTTGTAGCATGTGGGCTCAGTAGTTGTGGCTCACGGGCTCTAGAGCACAGGCTCAGTAGTTGTGGCGCACAGACTTAGTTGCTCCGAGGGCTGTGGGATCTTCCTGGACCAGGGATCGAACCCGTGTTTCCTGCATTGGCAGGTGGGTTCTTAACCACTGCGCCACTAGCGAAGCCCAGAGATTGACTCATTATTCCTGATATTCTGAAATTTTTTAATGACTTAGCATTTTGTCCACTGTTGTTCTGGGTACTTGGTGGACCCTTTCAGTATGGATATTCTTGCCATTTAGAGCTAAGAAATTTACTTGTGTAATGATAAATTTCTTCTGTTTTGCTTGTTCTGTTCTTTCTTCCAGGAATTCTTAATAATTGGATCTTCTGACTGATTCCTTCTGAGTCTTTTCTTTTATTTTTCCTCTCTGTCTTTTATTCTGTACTTGGTGTTGTTTTCTCTGGTTTCTCTTTTTATTTGATCTCTTAGTTTGGTCTTTATGTTGAAGGTTTTACTATAGTATCTTGCATTTTGGCCATCTGTTTAAGAAGGACTCTGAAAAGAGAACTTCTGGGAATGGAGGCTGGACTCCTTAGAGGGTGGGTTCAAAGTAAGTTGGCTTCCCCACTGAGGAGACCTAAAATTTCAGGATCTGGAAGTCTTTTCTGGAGCTGGTTTTCTCAGAAAAAGATTCTAGTCACCTACTGTGGGAGATATATGTCTGGCAGCCAGCATTATAGGAGAAGGGCAGGAGAAAGGGGCTGATACTAAACAATGATTTTGAGGCTTTTCCTTCCACTCACACTAAGAAATATATTGTACTTTGCATCATGACCTATTCATACATATAAATGAAACAAAAGCTTCAGGAAGAATTTAGTCTTAATACATGCAGATGCCCTTAAGCTTCCTATCGTATTCTCTTTCAGTTTAAAAAAAAAAAAAAAATTCAGGTTGTAACACATAGCTTGAAAAACACTGACTTGATCCCCCTGTTCCTTCCCTCCAGCTCTGTGACTTTTGCTGCCATCCACTTTGCAGGTGTTTTCAAATCCGAAGCCTTTCTGCTTCAAGGTCTTTGGGTTAATTTTATCTTTTCTCTCCTACCTACCTGTCAGGGAAATAATCATTAGCTTTGCAAGGTGGGGAAGAGGACTAGCCAATCTACTGCTCTGCATAAGGATTGTCAACTTCCCCCCCCCCCATGTTTTCAGCCCCCTGCCTCATCATCTCACCCCTGGCTTCCAAGGTCCTAGGTCTTTTAGAAGTTATTCTTCCTTTACTAAACATTTGTAGGTTTCAGTCTATTTTCTGACTTAAAAAATTGTTGAAATCTTTCAACCACTGTGTTTTTTCAGCATTTGTTTTTTCCCCCTTATGGATATTTGCCATTTTTATTCCTTTTCTATCATGAATAGTACTTCAGAGGGAATTGGAGATAAGTGTGGTTAATCTGCCTTGTTTTAAGAGAAGTGCTAGACTTACTCTGTTGCTTTGAATGGTAAGACTAGGAACAATTGGTAGAAATGTCAAGATTTTTAAAATATTCATAGATGTCTGAAAATGAAAAGTTCACAGCTAGGATGACCAGATAACAAGGATATTGTTACTGGATTAAAGTACTAGGTTATGATTGGATCAGATGACTTAAGATTCTGAAAAGTCATGAAGTTGTTATTTGATGTAATATATTTTAAGTTTTCTTGGCATGAATTAACTAACTTGAATTCTATACAGTAACAGAAACATCTGGTGCATAGTGTTTGTGTTCTGTTCCGTTAGTATTATATCTTTTTCATCTTGTGTGAGGTTCAAATCATTTGTATTTTATTTTGTGGTGAATTTGAGGCACGATACAAAGAAAAAATATTTTAAAACTTGATGAATTTCTCAGTAAATAAAGTCAAATGAAACAAATATTTAGGTATTAATAGGCCATCAATTCTTGGTTCTGTATGATAAACTGTCGGGAAAGGGTGACTGAGGTTACATTTGAGAGAAGCTGAATTAAACTTTTCTTTACTGTAGGTGCTGTTTGTGGTGGCCAGGTAACATCAGCACAGAAGAGAATTTCCTTTACTTTGTTTCTCTCTTCCCTCAGTTGCAGGAAGAGGCCGAGGCCGAGGAAGAGGAAGAGGACGTGGCCGAGGAAGAGGAAGAGGGGGTCCTAGGCGATAATATCTCTCAAGACTACTATTTCAAAGTAGTAGGTATTATGGGATATTTTCTGTACAGGTTTTGTTGTTTATGGCAGGCAAGGAAGAGGAAGAGGACATGGCCAGGGCAGAGGAAGAGGGGGTCCTAAGCGATATTGTCTCTCAAGATTACTGTTTCAAAGTGATAGGTACTATGGGATATTTTTTGTACAGGTTTTGTTTGTTTATAACAGACGAAGAGGAAGACGTGGCAGAGGAAGACTACGTGGCTAAGTTAGAAGACGGTGCCTAAGCAAATTGTGTCTCTCAAGATTATGATTTTAAAGTGATCGATGCCCCGGGTGCTTTTTGTACAGGCTTTGTTTGTTTGTGGCAGTTTTTAATAAACATAAATGTAGGACAGAGTTGTCTATTGACTATATCATATTAAGTTTTAATAGTTCATATATATATTCATGATACAAACACAATAAGAGCTAAGCGTTACTACTAGGCAGTCTCAGAATAATTCCAATCTTAGATCAGGCTTTTAATTTTTTGAACTAAAATATTTCTTTTATGAATATTTGTAGAATATACACCTTTTTATTTCACATGCACTGACTATGCGTTTTGTTTTTTTTAACATCTTTATTGGAATATAATTGCTTTACAATGGTGTGTTAGTTTCTGCTTTATAACAAAGTGTATCAGTTATACATATACATACGTTCCAATATCTCTTCCCTCTTGCGTGTCCCTCCCTCCCACTATGCGTTTTATTGTTTTACCTTGACTCCATTCTGTGGAACCTTCGTACAGGTGAAATAAGTTCTTTTTGGTACCTCAGAAACTAAAGACCTATGGAATTAGGTCTAAAATTGATTCTCCTTTCCTGAGTTTTATTCCATGGAGACTTAGGTTCTTAGTAAAAGGTGATGATCATCTTCTAAATTAAGAAGTCATTGCTTTTGTTGTCATTGTTAATGGTTTTTTGGTTTTATTTTACTTCTTTTGGGCCACACTGCAGGGCAGGTGGGATCCTAGTTCCCTCACTAGGGATTAAACCCATGCCCCCTGCATTTGAATTGAGGCATCTTAACCACTGGACCACCGGGGAAGTCCCTGTTTTACTTTTTTAATAGGTTCTTAATAGAATATAGTTTTTTTGGGGGGGGGGTTAATTTTATTTTTGGCTGCATTGGGTCTTCGTTGCTGCACGCAGGCTTTCTCTAGTTGTGGCGAGTGGGGGCTACTCTTCATGTGGTGCATGGACTTATCGTTGCAGTGGCTCCTCTTGTTGCAGAGCACGGGCTCTAGGGTGCGTGGGCTTCAGTAGTTGTGGCTCGCGGGCTCCAGAGCGCAGGCTCAGTAGTTGTGGCGCACGGGCTTAGTTGCTCCGCGGCATGTGGGATCTTCCTGGACCAGGGCTCAAACCTGTGCCACCTGCATTGGCAGGCGGATTCTTAACCAAATACTTTTTACAAGTAGTCCTTTAAGAACAAAAGGAAGAAGACCTACTTCTTTGCCAAAAACTGGATTCTTTCTGATCATTAATAAGGATTTTTTAAAAATTGTTTTAATTGGTTAGATTTAGAGAAAAATACTTCTCAGTATATAGTTTCTTACAAAGCTTACTATTGTTTATATACTAAGGAAGCTAACCTAACTGAGGATTGAACTAGATCTGTGTTTTCATTTAATCATGTATGGGGGTTTGTTTGTTTAATGAGAAGGGAATGTTCTGCAAAGACTGTTTTCAAAAAAGGAAGTTTAGGCCTTGTAAGGAAGTTAATGTAATTGAGATGGCAAGAGCATTTGTGTGTGGTATGTGTATATGTGTATCTCATTCTTTTCCATCCTTTGTTGGTGCTCCTATTAATTGAATGCAAGCAGAAGGCAAGGGAACACAGTGATGCATCAAGGTGGAGAGATTTGAAGGGGACAAACAGAAAAGCACAAGTAGTGAGTAAACAAATGTAAGTTGACTCCTGCCCTCCTGGAGCTTATAGGCTAAAAGGGAAACAGTTAGATATACATTGATACGTAATTGCAAATTGTGAATACTCTGATAAGGAATACTTTGTATTATCTTGTCTGTTTTAAAAGCAGTGGAGGCTCATGTTGATTTTAAGTCGAATGCCAATAACAAAGGATTTTTAAGCGTGCCTCGGGGTCTTAGTTCTCAGACAACGGGTGGAACCTGTGCCCTCTGCAGTGGGGGCTCAGAGTCCTAACCACTGGACCGCCAGGGGAGTCCCCTGACTGTGTCTTACTTTGTGAATTTTAACGTCTAGAAGTTTGTAGTGTGAAACCAGTCTAGTAACACTGTTTAAATGTAAGGCTAAACCCTAGTGGGTACTAGATTGAGTTTGTCAGCTTTAATAATAGGCAGTCATTTTATCAGCAAAAGTGAATTTATTTGAGAATAGCCAGAAGAATTGCAATTTGGCATATACAAACTATGACAGGCCATAGGCAAATCCAGAGAACCAGGAAAGGGAGCTTGCTTTGCGTGTGGGTGGGGACCTTGGGAGGGGCAATAATAAGCAGAGTCCTTTGCAGGAAGAGGCTTCTCATTGCTTGGGTGACTACAGTTTCTGATTGGCTGGGCTGCCCTTGGGAAAAGAGATGTTTTCTTCTTGCTGGATAGCAAAGTAGGCATCGCCTTCATGTCCAGATGTAGGGCCACGTCTCTTCCTGTTTGAAGTAATTGGATTTGCAGTGAAGCTGGCCAGTTGGACAGCAGAACTTTCCTTATTGTCTTGTTCCCTCTGGTTTTGCAGGGGAGGCTTCACCAGGTGTGTGTTTTTATAAGAAGCAGTAGTAATGCCTTCTGTTTTTATGTTTTTCGGGTTGTTTTTGTTTTTGTTTCTGGCTGTGCCACTCAGCTTGTGGGATCTTAGTTCCCCAACCCTGGGATCGAACCCAGGCCCTCAGCAGTGAAAGCACGAAGTCCTAACCACTGGGCCGCCAGGGAATTCCCAGTCTGATATCTTTTAAAGCTTAAGATTTTATTTGTGAAATTTGTTTAAAGAAATTTATTGTGAGTTTAAACAGAAAACTGTAAGTGAAATAATAGAGAAATTGTATTTCACAACATGTTTTAATCTACTATAAGTAGGTTGGTTAAGCAAGGATGGCTTAGTATTTTGAAATGTATTATGTTCAGCAGTCAAAATACACACAATCTTCTATAATAGATATCAGAATAACATTTAATAACACAACACTCATTCCTGAAAACCTAAAATGGACTTTCCTCATCATGTTAAGGAAGAATTTTCTATCTTAAACCAACAGCAGACATTTCTAGAGACATTCCAATTAAAACAACAAAAGAATATATCTGATATTGGTCTTTATTTAATGTGAAAATTCTTGTGAATCCACAAAATAAGAGGTATACTTTTGAGAAGGAAGAGAAATTTTGCAGTATTACTGTTTTCTCTGCAGGAACATGGTAGTATTCCATTTATCTGAACCAGTTTTAAAGTTCTGTGTATTTCCTATATTTTGAGTAAGGTCAGTATATAATATGAGATTCAGTTTACAAAAGAATAATAGCAAAAGCACTAGATGTCAAATGCAGTAGATTCTTGTTATTGATGATAGTTAGGTTCTATAAAGTTGCTGTGAACCCTGAATTAGTGAATAGTGAACCATTGCTCCTAGGAGGAACACAGGTTCTCTGTGTATGAGTCTCTGGTCATGGCATTTTCATCAGCTCGTCAATGCATAACCTCGTTTTATGTGTGTTTTCTGTTTAAAAACACCTTATTTAGTACCTATTGTTTCATTTACATTGAATTCACAATCAACAGCACTGTAATGTATGCCTGAACAGAGTTTTTCTAAGACATGTATTTTTTCCAAATGCCACATCAGAGCCTTCTTGCTTTATGGATACTAGATAGCACTATGCTTGGGGGCCATTTTAAACAACAAACTCACCACCCAAAAGCACAAAAGTACCAAAAAACTGTGGCACTAAATTGACCATGAAGGATGTTTGTCTACCGTATGAGACCTGAAACAAAAGGCACTGTCGCTTTATTCAGCCTCAGCCTAGAACAACCAGGTGGCACATCAGGTAACAATTTTTTGCTGCTCTAAAGCATGCATGGTCCATGCATGACCATGGAAGCACCAATAGTACTGATTTTGGAGTTACAAATAAATTTTAGCAAGGAAATGACTTCCCCAGTACAGAATGATTAATGATGATTGACCATACTTAACATATTTTGGTAAGATTATTCCGAAGTATTTTGTGTATTTTGTTACTATAGTGAGGGATATCTTATCCCACTATTTGAATTCTAACAATTTCACCTATTCTAAGATGGATTTTTAAAATATATTTTAATATCTCTGAAATTGAGATGCATCTTAAATGGTATAAATTTAGATTTGGTATCAAACTTAAATCATCAAGCTTTTTTCTTTGTTAGTAGTACATACAATAACAAGTGCATCCAAAAATTGATGTCTTAGATTTGGTGAACTACAGAAATTATGGTGATTCATATGCCTCTCAAGTAGAGCCATACTCTGCTTTGTCTTTAAATGATAATATGCATTGTGAATCTGCAAGGAGAGTAAAGATTTTCCATGTTTCCTAGAACTTTGTAATTTTCTCCTCTTTGAGTGCTTCTGGAACAGTGGCAAAAATCAGTTCTAGCTTTTTAAAAATTCCTGAGCCATAAAATAAAAAATAGTACCATATTCCAGTGTGGGAAGACTGACCAGTGTAAAGATAGAAATTCTCTCCAATTTATAGGTTTAGTGCAATTATCTTGGTGAATTTTTAAGTAACTTCTTTACTGGCAGTATGTCAACTAATATGTACTTAATGCTTATTCTGTGCCCAGTTTTTCTGATTAATTTATAGATTTAATGAAATTGCCAAAAGGATTTTTTTAATGGACAATAACTGTTCCTCCCATTTGACAAATATTTGGGTACTAACTCTGCCAGGTTCTGTGCTAATAAGCCCTTTACATGTTATTTCTTTTTTTTTAATAATTTACCTTTTAAAAAAATTTTATTTATTTTTTAATTTTTTGGCTGCATCGGGTCTTAGTTGCAGTACATGGGATTTTCATTGAGGCATGCGAGATCTTTTGTTGCGGCGCGTGGGCTCTTTGTTGCGGTGCTCGGACTTCTCTCTAGTTGTGGCATGCGGGTTTTCTCTAGTTGTGGCGCGCAGGCTCCAGGGCACGTGGGCTCTGTAGTTTGTGGCATGCAAGCTCTCTAGTTGAAGCTGTGCGAGCTCAGTAGTTGCAGTGCACAGGCTTAGCTGCCCTGTGGTATGTGGGAACCCAGGGATTGAACCCACGTCCCCTGCATTGGAAGGTGGATTCTTTACCACTGGACCACCAGGGAAGTCCCCTACATGTTATTTCTTTTAACCCTCCGAACA